GTACAGCGTGTTTTTTTTTAGTTAGTTGGGACTGTATTTGGCATCCGCTTTTAATCAAAAAACATATCAATATAATTTTCCTCAAGGTTTGCTTGTGGATTGGAGTTTGCGGGCATTTAAGCATTAAGTCTTTGGTTTTAGCGGATTTTTGATATACAGTAACGTCTTCTTTGTAAAGAGAATACAAAAATTATTTAACCTTCAAGAGATATATATACATCCCCGAAGCCCCCACCTCCCATTTGTTCAAAATATATCCTTGTTCCTACAATAAGTGTAGATTTGAGAAGCATAATTCCAACTGAATTATAACAACATATAGGCAACTAAAAGGATAAATATTCAAAAGTAAACTATTTTATGTGCTTTTCAAAAAGTACCATACGCATAAGTGCCGACCAGTTCATATATTGAATTCACATTTTGAAACAAGTGGTAGCACGGTACTCCCCACTCAAAGCTCTCCAAATAAGAAGCACATTTCTATATGCCCCATGTGGCTCTACAACATTTTATAATATTGTTCGGTAGTTGCATCTAGGATAGTGTGCGAGCGCAACAAMTCTCTGCTATTTTATGCGCTTTTTGTGTGATAACACAGTTGAAATTGTATGCATTAATATACATATTTGCCAACCAGCTCTTTAAAACTTATATGCCGGCAAGCGTAATTTTAAGGGGACAACAATAATAATGTTTATGGTTGTTGTTGTTATACTCGTACTATATGCGCCAGTTGCACAATACTCGTATGAGGTGAAGTTCCCACACCTTTACTTACCTACCGAAAATGCACATACGCACAAACATATTTATTGCAATATTGTGTGTGATCTAGCCACAGGCAACACATCGGCATGCGACATGTCGCTGCTCAAATTCCATTGCTCCAATTCCGCTCGACAGGCGCATAGAGATTGTGTGCCCAGTATGGCAATACACAGCTTCCAATACAGTTTATGTATGAGCACCCCGGCACGGGAATATTTGTCGATTCTTGTGCCCAGCGCGGTATATTGCGGACTGTTGCGGCGTAATGCTATACTCCTTAACTTGTGAGCGAAAGAGGTCACACGCTCCAGGGCGGATTGCGCACTTGCTCAAATATTTGCGCCTTAAATGCTATATTGAATGTGTGTCTGTGTGTATGCGTGGGTGGATGCCCAGAGCATAATGGACTAATGTGTGGCGAAGAGCACGCGTGCCGCAATTGGCGATGCATAAGTTAGATAAGGCATATTTTAAATGCCATCACACAATTTAAAGAAGTTGCAGTTTTATAATGGCAAAGGAATATGGACGCATACTGTTAGGGGTTACGTGGGTTTTGAAATCTCAAAAGTCATCTTTTTATTTTATTTTTAAATATAACGGTATGTCTGCAATATTTGCGCAAGGTTTTGACGCAATCACAATAAAAGTATAGGAGGTATAGAGAATAGTTTTTCGTGTTTTTTTCAAGCATCGTTTTCAAAGTCTGTGTTCAAGATTTCTCAGAAACTTCTGAAGTGATCTTATTGAAACAATTTTTTTATTAGGATGATCCCTTCTCTTTTCCAATGGTTTTTTGCTTCGATCACAATAATTTTTTCAAGGCAATTATTGGTAAAAATTATACTTAAGGTTATACTGAAGTGTTTGCAACTTTGCTGATATATAATTTGTTCCAAATACTTCGATTATTCACGACATATATTCATCTACGAAGCGATTTGATTTACACTCACTTTTTGGGCGGCGACTCCAAAAATATATGCTCTCTCATATGCTATGCTCATTTAACTCATTTAATATAATATATGAAAAAGTTTGGTAAAATAAGCATTATTTTACCCGTCAAAATCCACATAACCCTCTAAAGGCCAATTTTTGTATAAGGTGCATTGAAATATATGAAATAATAAATATGTTCCATAGTTTCCAAATATATCCCAGGTAATTGTATTAAAGTTGTAAGCACTTCATTTTATGGTATGCAATCAATCTGATTTCAGTTGAAAATTTACAATTTGGTATTAAGTAAAGCAATTCCACTTTTGAATATATATCTGTGTATTAGCGTTTACAACTATTTTTTCCACCGCTGTTGTCGCCAGCTCACAAGGCGAACAGTTACCATAGAAGATTCTTTGAACTGTTTTCGAGAAAATTTTTTTTTTTTGAGTGATTACGAATATGTTTGTAGGTGTAAGTAAGGTTAACATAACATCTTTAAACTACATTGTATTGCTTTGATTTTTCATTATGAAATCATTATTTCGTTAGTGACTCCGAATTCGTAACTTTAAAGTTCAGTTGTTCCAATTTCAACTCAACTAAGCCAAGTTGTAAACATAAAGAGGGTTTTATCTGAAATTTTAGTCAAAAAGTAAACTTTTTAAATCACATGCGCTTTTGAAATGTTGTTGAGAAAGTGTTATAAATTTACCCTTGCCAACGGAATTCAATCTGAAATATGACATTGCATACTTACGTATGAAATCTATCTCAAGAATATTCTTTTAACTTTTAATTTCAGATGAGGGTAGGTAGTTTAGAACAGTCTCAATAATAAATTGTGAAAGTCAGTTGTGAAAAACATTTGGATGAAAGGGAAAATCCAATTCTGGTATTTTAAACTTTTTTCGTTTTAATTTTTTTTTAGTGTTGTTAAGTTATTTTAATGTAGGGTAAGCAAGTTGTGTTTCTACAAAATTAATTTGCATTTTTATTTATTTGTTTAAAAAGTGTTATGTGAATGTGTTGAGTTTGAGTGAGACTGAATGCTAACAAATGGTTCATACGCTATTCTGTCGCATAATACATGCATACAAGTATATACCCGCATATTAATTATAATATCTAGCAGCCAATATTTCAGTGTAGGACATGAACTTTTCTAATTAAATGATTGAAAGTTTATGAGCGCATGAACAGGGAAAAAGTTAGTTCAAATTACCATATACCATAATTTTATTTGAACCAGGTATTTGTACAGTAAGCCACCATCCATAATAAACAATACAAAAAGACATTAAAACGAAGTATTTTGAGAAAATAATAAAAAAATATTTAATTAAAATTACTCTTAGTAAAATGAGTGTGTCCGTTTCATACGAATTGTTGGTAGGTTATTAATTGATWCAAATAGCTGTAAATTAGCGCAAAAAATTACGCATAAATACACGCCAATTCCACGTAGCATACTTACAAACACACACCACGTCCACGCTATTGGCAAACATCGGTATTACGAAACATGAGCATCTATACCCACTAACTAACCAAAACTCGTATTATATATGATATATTAGCGGTATTTTTTCATATATTTACGAACCGARTTTCATACACAGTTGATAGTTAATTACAAATTGTATTGGAGAATGCAAAAATGTGCARCGAAAGCCATTTCACCGAAAAGTACATATAAATTACAAAGTATATAAATAGCCAACAAAACAATCATCATAAAACATCCTATAAATACACAACTCATAAAGTCTCATCGCGTCACCTGCAAAACAAGTATAAAAAAAAATATTCGCAAAATTGAAGAACACTGTGTGTACACAAATGCGTACTTGTAGGTATAACCCATCCAGGTATTATACAACTGATCCTGTCACCCACGCGTCCAGCATATTTCCACTGCAACCAGCCAGCTTTTACTTTCATAAATCCCTACTCCCTAGCAGCTTTTTTTTGAAATTCCTACATTCCTCGTTCATGCTGATTTATTTTCGCTATTTTGTATTCAATTTAATGCGGCATTTAATTTTTTGCGTGGCAATAAGTGAAAAAATGTCACTCTCACGTGTCGCACGCGCTGCTCGCCATTATGTTTYCGCTTCATTTTATTTCCATATATTTTCCTCCTGCCATTTTTGTCAGCGTACAAAAAAGTGAACAACTGATTTGCCTTTTTCCAGCGCAAGCAAAAGAACAACTGTCATTTTGCCACGTTTTCATTCGAAAAGTGTATCCTCAATCCCAAACCGAAAACCTTTCCACCTTGTGCTTATTGACATTTAATATGGCAGTACCGTTTTTTGATGCCATTTCACAATTATTCTTTTTTGCTTTTGAGAAAATCATCGAATTCTTGTGTTAAACATTATAAAAACTTTTTTTCTGCAGATAATTGTGTTTCACAAATTTATCGCAATGGCGTCGTTGATTCATGATTTATACTTGTTTTTGTAATTTCACGTTTTCTTTTAGCACTCTCTCATAGTAGCAGAAACATTTTTTCTTGAATTGTGCGTCATAAATAATTTTTGTATTTTGTTATGTCGCATGTGCACATATATACAAATAACTGTAATTTTTGTATAAATAATATAAAATAATATTTTTTGGAAATATTAGTCMTTAACACTTTTAATAATCACTTCCTAATTTACTAATTTTTAACTAGCTAACTGTTATTCTGAATGACGTGCAGATATTCTGGTTTAACTAAATCAAACTCAATTTTAACAAAGTCATATCGGAAAACTGAATTTTTTAACCAAACCAAATGGCTATGTACATACGACAATTTATAAACTTGAAAATTAAAAAAAAAAATAATATGTATGAAAATAACTCGTAAACATATAAACTAACTTTTCTAAAAAAAAATTATAATAAAATAAAGTCGCGTCAACTAAAAAAAAACAAATAAATTGACATAATTAAAACGAAAATACTGGCATTCCTTTCATTTTCAAAAGCCCGTTATTCATTTTTCAGCCTAAGCCAAATATTTGCACGTCTTAAATTAACAAAACACTTGTCTTGTTGAACTAATTGAAATATGACGAAATGTACGCAAATTTGATTTTTGTAAACCACTCACAGATCACTCTCTTGATTATAATGCCCCATACCACATTTGGTCATATTTCAAATAACTGATCTGAAAATAGTTCTCCTAGTTTAAACATGACTTTGAACCTTTTATACCGGATTTTTCCAGTTTTCTAATATGTATTTATATTCCTTTACCCGCTTTGTTTCGTCGTCTGCGTTCGCAGTTCGGGCATTGAAGGCAATCCGACTGTGTTTTATCGCCTAATGCCCGGGTCCACCGCACAGACCAATAAATTTCATACGTTCTACCTACAACAAAGACCGGATAATGGGGATACATGGGCCGATATAAAGGTGAATCATCCGCTGGATTATGAGAGTATAAAGGAGTATAATTTGACGATACGTGTAGAGGTGAGTAAAAGTTTAAAATGTATATTAATAAAGCTTGAGTGCCTAAAAAGTTTAAAAGTTCTATAAACTATTCTATATGATATATAGCAGAAAATAATAACGAAAAGTTTTTTATTATTTATATTATTCAAATTTTATGAAGTAATGAAATAGATTGTAGTCCATCCGTTGAGTCGAATTTTCGATGACTCTAGCATTTCGACTGATAACTGACGAATGGCATGAGGGATGTTTTGTTTCAAGACCTGAATCGGGGTTGGATTGCCTGCCTACTTTGTTGTTGTTTTTCTTGATGAGATAATATCTTTTGAATCGCTTCAGGTTGCTCTTCACGCCAAATGCGCCAATTTAGCTTGTTTAAATACCTATTGACCCAGTGGGCCTCATAGCTGGACAAAATTTTTCTACAAACGTTGGATAATCTTGGAACTTTTCAAGAGCCCATAGATCGATGCGATGACGTTTGGGAAGGCTGAGCGGCTTCAGTTCTTACACAAGATGTATTTTGTACGTTAGTCCGAGTTACTGCATAAGGCGCCCAATTTTTATTTTTTTCACTTCGTGCTCGACGTGGTCTACTTGGTCGAATATGCGCCTTCTCACTTTAGGTCGCCTTCAAACGGGTGTTCTTTGTCCACTCTGACGATACTTGATATCAGACCGGAAGTCCTGAGCTGCTTTAGTCATATGTAAAATAATCGTTTCTCGCCACTCCAAAGTGAATGGCAATCAGAGAACTTTCCTCACATGCGTGAATTTGTACACATAACTYCATCCTCCTGCTAAATATACGTTACTTTAATTATTATTGCATTCGAAAAGCATTAGATTGGAGCAAGCGATTTTCCCAGCCTAAAATGCCAATAGACGTTAGGTAGAGTAGAGGACTCAAAGAGTTTAAAACTTCGATCCAAATTGTCTCTTAGAATATATCTTCTTCACTACAGTCAACTAGGGTTTTTGATCATCCGTTAGTTCCTAAAAAATTTAAATAAATTTGTACAAAATTTTATTTTTTTGTAATTATGTATTAAATGTGTTGCATTGTTTTTGCTCTGAAAATTATAACTATAAATATTGTAAGTGATTTACTTAACATAATTGAGAGGGAATGCATAAAAATGATTGTTCTTGCAAAATTTATGTATTTCATGCAAAGCAAAGTATAAGGAAGTTTTTGCACTAAAATTCAATCGAAAAGTAACCTCAAACTCCGCTCTCAAATGCAAAAATTAATTAATTCTATTTATGCCCGAAGATAAACAAGCGTGCATATCTCCTTTTGCACTAACTGTATATGCGAATTCCTCAAAAGCCGAAATATTTAATTGATTTGGAATATTTCTTAAAAATGCCATCTACGATCTATTATATCGCTTTATTTGCACTTATTATTACACTGGTATAGACATGTTTATTTGCAAAGACATATATGTGCATGTATTGCACAAAATATGTTAGCAATATATTGCAATTAGTAAAGGAAAACAGACACATATGCAGATTTATAAGTGACAGCTGAAGTGACATCAATTCTGGCACAACAAACGAAAATGATATTAAATGTTTGATAAACAATTTGAAGAGACTTGTCGGCGCAGTTGCAACAAATATTTATGCCACGTCTGTGTGCCTCCGTTATGTGGCTAATTGCTAAGAGAAATGCAACCACAGATATTTTCGGTAAATATGTAGAGTTCTATGTTCAGTAGGTATTTGCCACATTTATTTGTTATTACCATGCAAAGCACTGTTGTTCTTGCTGCTCCAATAACTACATTCAAGTGCAAAGTGAAGCAAAAGTAAATTTCGTTTAAGGCTGGCTAGTAAACACTTGCATAATTCATATCCACCTACGAAATAAAGCAAATATTGCAAACGTTCAATAAAACTTGTGAGTTTTAAATCATATTTGCATTTCATGTCTCAGCTAAGCTCTATAACTATTTGCAGAACATGCAAGTATATTTCAATTTCTCTCATATATATGAACATATGTATATATTTCTCGTATATTTATATATATACAAACTTTCATTAGGACAAATACCTTCAAGCGTTTAAGGTGCATAGTGTATTTTTGCCGCATAAACCTTTGTGAGGGACTTGGTTTTACGCCTGAAATGCTTGGACAAATAATTCATTTATTAATAGGCGGATTTTAGTGCAATCAATTTCAAAACAAATAGACACTATATTTACTTGTTAATGGTTTAGTTTTGCAATGCTGTTTGTATTCCATAATGTCGGCATATTGAAAAATTATTCGAGATTCCTAAAATTGTTGGTTAATTTAAACTATATTTAGTGGATCGTAATGAACAAATATGTAAAGCATCAGTTAATTTTTTCTATAATTTGTATTTTTTTTAAATGCATTGAGGCAATGTACTTCAATAATTAAATATTAAAAATAATCAATAATACCAATAGTATACCAAAAATGCTGATTTACTTTAAATACTAATCGAATAGCATTACAGAATTCAAATAATTGGAAGAAATTAATAAATTTTGGAAAAAAACTTCACTTATACATTGATAAGTTTAATATTAATTTCTTCCAGTTATTTAAATTTCTGTAATGCTGTTGGAATGAATGATCAATAACACATAGAAATCGCAGTAATACCTTGTTATACCTCGAACTGTGTGTAGTAAGTTTGCCACGACGAGCGTAACACCCAGAAATAAAAGTCGAAGGCCCACAAAACGATATGTACATATACGATAWGATGAGCAGATTTGGTTCAGATATGCTCGTCTGTSTGTATATACGCGAACTAATCGCTCASTTTACGAGATACCGATCTRAAATTTTRCACATCTCCTTTCCTGCAAGAAGTTGCTCATTTGTCGGAACCGCTGMATCAAGGCGACGGTGCAATCTCCGAAGAAATTGTTAAGATCGAATCACTACAGTTTCTAGCTGCCATAGAATACTCATCGCCACTACTAATGAAAAAATGAGTGATTTTGGAAGCAATCCTGCTTTTATATTTCTCAGGCCCAAATGATCTTTCAAAATGGTTTTCACTGATCCTTCCGATATTCCAAAGATTTCAGTAAGATCTCTGGCTGTTAATCGTTAATTCTCAAGCACCAACCCCTTTATTATGTTAACGTGTTGATGGCTGTTCTGGATGTGGTTCGGCGTCAACGCGTTCCAGCCACCCTCTTACACACGACAAATAATTACCACCAAAGACGCTTTCCAAAATTCTRAACATTTTGCCACCAGAAACTTGATTCCGCACACAAAATTTAATGGAACTTCTTTCTTGAATAATTTCACTCATCGTAAAATTCGSCGAATGCACTTTACGATCTTCAGATTTTGAAGTAAATTTCGACAAATGGATTTTCGCGTGAAATGGAAATTAAAAAGTCTTACTATTTTTGCCCACAGTATAGATATTGAGTAAATATACTTGGCCAGTTTTWGTGCAAGTTCGTTTATTAATACATAGGTGCAAACGAAAGCATAAAGAAGATAATAAATTGATCCAATCGAATATTTGAAAGAATAAAAACGAGATAGTGGTTGAGCGCAATTATTGCCATGAGTTTCTTTTGCTAATAAAATTGGTCAACTCACTGATAGAAAACTATTTAGAATTGACAAATTGAACACTTGTCAAAAGCACTCTATCCATGTTAGGMGTATTTTATATGAATTCTTGTTTGCAATTTTAGCAAATTTGCTAAGAGTATTTTCCTATGAATGTTTTATTTATTAGTTTATAGTTTACCAGCATTTTTACGGCACCGACACAATTCCCGTGAATGTGTTTTTTGAAGTGTAATTTCGGCGAGTTTGACAAAAAAGTGTTTTTTTTTTTTCAAATTTGTAATAGTTAAAACGCAAAAACTGCAGAAAATTACACTTGTACAGGATTCTTAATTGATTGCAAACGCTTAATGTATTAATAGATGGCAAATTAAGTGCAATAACGCTCAATAAATTTTATAATTTAACTTGCACAAATAGACTTATCCACCGGTATTTGACTGGTTAAATGGCTTAATCACTATTACGTTTTTTCAGGAATTGTATTAAAAAATAGTAAAAACATCAGAAAACGTTGGCATTCAATTTAATAACAGTATATTTTGAATTGGAGCAGATTAATTGAGTTTAGTATTGAAAATGACGTACTCAATGCCGTTTCTGTTTTATATTTGTATACTTCGAAATTAGATAATAAAATATAAGTATATGTTATTTCGTTTTAAGGTTTTTATTGGTTGTCTCAATAATCACCACATTTGACCGGGAGAAAGAAGCCGTAG